CAGCCTGTAGTGCTGCAGGGGGTTGTGATCCAAGTTCAGGACCTGGCACTTCATCTTGGGCTTCACACCATTGGCCTTGGCCCATCAATTCAGCCTGTCCAGATCCCTCTGCAGAGCCTTCCTGCTCTCCAGCAGATCAACACTGCCACCCAATTTGATGTTGCCTGCAAACTGGCTGAGGGTGCACTCAGTCCCCTTCTCCAGATCATTGGAAAAGATGTTAAACAGGTCTGGCCATGATTCTGAGCCCTGGAGAACACCAGTAGTGACCATTTGCCAACTGCATCTCATTCCATTCACCACCACTCTCTGGGCCTGGCCATCCAGACAGAGTGCATCCAAAAAGAGTGTCTAAGCCATGGGCTTTCAGTTTCTCCATGAGAATGCTGTGAGAGACAGGACTTTTCTGAAGTTAAGGTTACATCCACAGCCTTCCCCTTATCCACTAGGTGGGTCACCTGGTCATAAGAGAAGATCAGGTTCTCTGAACACTTGTGGCTGAACATGTGTGATTAAAGCAATCAAAAAGCATATAAGTCTCAATAGTCTTTGGAATTCTTGAAAGGCTTTGAAGACAGGTGTTACCAGATGATCCTTGGCTCCTTGTAATATCTATTAGCTCCTTTCCTAACTTACCTCCTAACTCCCAAATCCAAGCATTTTGCCACTGTGTCATGCTCAAGAAAGTCCTTCTGTTGAGAGGATACTCTCATGTCATGAAAGTGAAATTTGAGTGAAGAATACACTGGAATTTGTAGAATGAACAGTGCTGTGGAACATGACTGTCTTTCAGCAAATCCCCGTCATAGCTCTAATATGTGATGCCATGGGGTAGACAGGTATGTAGCTGCTGCTTCTGATGAGGGGAAGAATGGTGCCTTGAGTTTCTGTACTGCATTTCTCCACTGGAATTGTCCCAGCATCACATATGAAATGGAGGGGGCAACTGATTCATTGGGGATGAGTATAAAATATCTAGGAAAAGAATTGATTAGTTGTTTAATTTTTTTGTAAGCTAAATTGAAAAATGTTTGTGATTTCTGTTTTCAAGCGCAGTTTATGTAAGGGTTCCCTTTTAGTAAGGTAACTTGCCACTGGTTTTAAAACAGTACACCAGTTAAGACATGGAGCTGAAAAATAGCAGCACTTTTCAAGGCTGGCATTCTTAAGAATGTGGAGAGGACTTCATATTGATCAGTTTTGATCTTAGCAGATGGATTTTCTTCCACTGCAGAGAATGTGCTGGAGCCCTTGGAGCTGTGCATCATGAAGATGAAGAGGTTATAGGCATAGTATTGTATGATGTGGTTTTGTTTCCCTTGGGCTCAATTCAATCTTGGGATATTGCTGCCTAGTTTTGTTCCTCTTTGGGTACTCTCATAACAGGTAGGCAGCAATGCTTCCAGTTGAAGCCTAATAAGCTATTAGGTTTTAAGTCAAGAAGCTAAGGAATGTACTGGCCCAAAGAGTTATCTGCAGTGAGATCTCAGATGCCAGAGTGAAAAGATTTTTGAAACGTGTAGCACAAAACTAGAGAGAGACTCTGAAATGCAGTTCTCCTCTAAAGAGCTAACTCAAGTTATGTTACCAGTCTGCAGTTCATGTACAACTGCTTGCTCAACTAGACTTTTACACCCCCAGACCTTATTATAGGGTGAATAGCATGTCATGAAATAAATAAAGAAAATTGGTGGAGTTTGAGTACTAAAAGTCTACTTTAAGTGCACTGCCATTATGTAGTAATAAGGTAAATGGAATGAGTTGGTGTAACTCGTTGCACCATAATTGTGCTGAAGTAGCCACAGTTGGAAACAGCATCCAGTCCCAGCTCTAATTAAGATTCTCCTTTTATCTGGGATTGCAATCACTGTAGCTGCTGGTAGAAATTCTAAAATATGAAGGATAGTTAGGGATGCAGAGCAACTGCTTTTTTTCCTCTCTCTGTTCTTCTTTGGGGTCTTTGAAGAAACAAATACTGAGCAACTCTTAATTCTCTCTAGTGTTGTATAGCAGGGTCCTCAGTGGGAAGAGGTTGCACACTCTTTTTCTGCACTTCACATATTTTTCAAGGAATCCTCCTGCACTATATGTATTCATCCTGAAATAACAGATGCCTAGTCCGTGTATGCATGGAGTCATACAATCATTTATCTTGGAGTGTACATTGTCATGCTCCACAAAAGTATGCCTGTGTCTTAGGGCTGCATGGAGTGGAGAAATAGGTGCACACACACTGACACACACATATTGCATATGTGCAATAGATTTTATATATGTTAGGACATTTTGTAAGATCTGGATCGTGCAATCCCCTTCAATGAAACAGAGAGGTGGAATATATTTGGCTAGCTCTTGCAGAATCTAAGATGGGCCATATGTAATAATATATCTTTGAGCAGGCTGTTTCTGCAGCGTCATCATACTGACTAGAGTCAGATTCTTCCTTGGCTCATCCTAGACACCCGCTTTATATGACCCAGAAAAAAATATGGGGGGTGTGTGAGAGGGGTGTATTTTTAGCTAAACTAAAGGGTATAAGCAAGGTTAAAAAAATAGGGTAATGCAGGAACCTCATGGCAACACTTTCCAAAATAAATGAAATGGAACAGGCATTGTTTCTCTGATATTTTTAATGCCTGTTGATACATCCGGAGAATCTAGAAAAATAATTTTATGTAAATTACCAGCCCTTCCAATGTTGTTGCTTCATAATGTGCAGTCAGGGCTAGAAATTGATGTATTAACTTCTATTCTGTCTTTATATAGTATAGAAATTTAGGAGTTGCATGGCCTCTTTAGTTTGTGGCTGTAAATCAACCTGCAGTGGTAACTATTTCGTAAAATTCTGTCTGTAGTACTGAGCATCTGGTGAGTATATGACTATTAAAAAAACTAATCTGAACCTATTACAGTATCTCCTTTTAGCAAGTTTGCATTTAATAAGTTCTTATTTTCCACAGCTTTGTTAAAACCACCTTACTCAAGTGATTTTTTTCAAAGTTCTGAGTATCAGCCATTCTAGCAGGTCAAGTGGTGTAATAACCTTGCATTAATCAGCAGCTAAGATTTATATCTGTACCTGCAGCATCACACTAGGATACTCGAAAATAAACAGCATGATGTTTATATTAGTCATGTAACAAGTGTCTTTCTCAGTTTGGTCACATGGATTTAATTTAAAATACATCCAGTAAAGAAAAAATCACTTGGCACTTTCTGTTTCCATTTTAAGTAAACAGTTTTAAAATAGAAGCAGTACAGGATATGTTTTATAAGAGGAGCTATAAAGAAGAGGACAGATTCTTTCATCACTCCAGAATGTCTTTGAGGAGGCTTAGAGCAGGTGTAGAGGAGAGAGGCTGAGGCAGCCCTGGGCTGTCCTTCACCTCTGCCTGCTCTGGAGCACCGGGGGACTCCCTGCCAGAGCTGTGAACACCCGAGCCGTGGCTCTCTTTACTCATTTCTCCTTCTCCCCTTTTTCTGTTCACTGTCCCCCACCAATGTAAATTGTGTTTTATGTTTGAAGGGTTCACCCCACTGTAGAATAACCAAGCTGTGATCCAGCATGTGCAGAGGGCTGCCAGGCTGCTCTGTAGAGATGAATTGCATTCAGGCAGGACTAAAAAGCCTCACTTCACAAATGCTGCAGAATGTAGTGGAACTGGAAAATTAAAGATTTGGGTAATAGTTTAGGGTCAACAGTCTCAAAGCTTTACAGTTCCACCTGTCCTGTAGGAAGGGAATATCATGTTCCAGAAGAACTGTGTTCTTATGTGGAATTCACCCCTGAAGGCCAGCAAATATTCCACTGGACAGGTGGAATTTTAAGGCTATGTATAGCATTTCTTGAGATGGGTGCTTGTATATTTTTTGCTCTCTCACCATCCTTTCACTTAACAGCATGTATTTGAATCCTGTGAGCTCATTTTGAATTTACTGGACACCTAGTACCTACTAAAAGTATAAATTTCAACAGCACTGTAACTTCCAGTTTAAAATACAACATACTGCTTTATCTTTCCTTTGGTATTTAAAGGAAAACATTGAACACACTCAGGCAACTAACAGTAGCAAAAATGAAGTGGACCTGAGTATAAAAGTCTCAGTTGCCTAGAAGCAGAAAACCAACCAAGGCTAACATTTTTGTTCTTGATACACAGCAAAGAAAGTCAGCAGATTCAGAATTTTAATTTGACTATTTGGGATGGGACTTCTCATTAGTGATAGACAAAATTTCACCTCCCAAAGTAAGTAATACCTTCTGTATGCATAAGTGGACTTGACAAGTAACTTCTGTTGCAAGTTGCAGTTTATATTGCCTTACTGTATTTATTAAGTCTATATTTCAAGACATGTAGCTAATAAAGCAGATGGTCCTTCATCCTTCTGACTTGTAAAAGTTTTCATTAGACAACTAATTGCTTTCCTAATGTATAGCTCCTTAGAAACTGCTTTTCTTTCTAAATGGCAGGCTTATCATAGACCTAGAGTATCTAGGTGAGAGCTATGGATGGGGTCAGCTAATAGCCTGATTTCGACTGAAACAAGCTATTTGGTATAAGTAGCTTAAGCATTGCAGTGCCCACCTTGAAATATTGATCAGCCTGTGAGAGACCTGTCATAAACCCTCACTTTAACTGCTCAGGAAAAGCACAAATCCCACTGCTGTATATCTAAAAGGAGAAGTAATATTTGTCTTGACTTGGTTTTAGCAGTTGCCATCAAGTACAGAAGTCCAGAATAGCCACAAAATATGCATGAATACAAGCTTTGCTTAGTTTTCCAATTGCTGTGTGTGTAAATAAGTAATACAATATGAGAAGACATGTCAAAAGGTACCATATCGAGTCTGTTAACACTGAAATTTGTGATTTTCAAAGAGTCAAGGTACGGAATGTTACATATACAGTGTGTGTGCAGTTGCATATGCATGTTCATAGACATGACATGAGTTCAACAAATATAATGTCAAAAATTTGACTCTGTGCCATTTGTTTCAGGCTGTTATTTGGCAGAAGACCAGGGTATCAGATCACAAAATGGCCTGTATGTCAATTCTGGGAACAGCCGTTATGAGCAGTATGGTACCTTTTCAACACTGCTGCGAATATCCTGAGGTGAGTTTAAACTTCCTTCTCCCAAATTCACTTCAGGTCTGTCCATTAAGAGAGCTAAAGAAATACTCAGAAAGGAGATTTTGAAAAAGAAAGTGTCTCTCCAGATTGACATCTGATTAATGCATTTGATTCTATTACTGTCCTCTCCGTAAAATTAATTGGTTTGGTGATTGAAAGTCCACTCCAAGAATCACCTCATCAGGACTCATGTGGCACTGATCAAATGGCAGTAAAAACAGTTGTGATGACAAATGCAGAATTGCTGATTGCTCAGAGCTGTCTCAGTTGGGATCCTGGCCCACAGGCAGGTTATGCTCTCATTAATATCTAAGCATTTAGATGGTTCTCATCTTCGTGGCCTCTTAGCCTTCTACTCTAAAGAGTATTCCCTCAATTTCAGTGGGGGCACCTGAGCGGTGAAAGAAACACATACTTAGAAGGGCAAGTTATGCAAAACTTCCACCAAACATGTATTTCAACTAAATACCTTCTAGTTTTCAAAAAAATTCTGTGTTCTTGGCTTCTTTTTCCCCTTCTGAAAATGAGGGGATTCCCTATGATACCCTCCTTTGTCTAATGTTTTCAAAATTTTTTTACTCTGCTTCCATTTTTGTTGGAGAAATTTTTACTGAAGGGTAATCTTGCTACCTTGGAACCTTCTAAGCTGCATTTTCCTGTATCACGTAGTAATAAACCTTGACAGGATGAGATGAATCATTGTAAAGTCACAATGGTTCTTAGACACAACTTACCAATGCTGCATTCAGCATGGTGCTTAATAATATTACTCAGACTTTAAGGTCTCACTGTTTATATGTGCATGTTAATAGCATTCTTCAGACTTAAGTCTTGAGTTTGCCAGAGTGCTTTTATACCTGTAGTAGAATGAGGGGGAGCAAAGCAAAGTCACTTCTTGTACTTTACAAAGTTTTAGTTGTTTATGTCTGAACTGAACATCCAGAGCTATTCTTACCTGAGTGTAGCTTGGGTGTGCCCCCAGGACAAGTGCAGGGGGCTCCAAAGGGAAGATAAGGGGGTATTTAGAAGGGACTAGCTTGGAGGAGGCACTTAGGTTCTCACATTACTTCTCTGCTATATCATGAGGCATCCATATTCCTTGAATAGAAGTTGGGGAACATTCCATCTCTCTCTCTGTCTCTAAATAGTGTGTAAAATACCATGTGCATCATTTATAGGTGTATAAGTGATCCATGCATAATGTTGACGTTCAGAAACTATGGACATTTCTAAACTAGGCAGCCAAACACTATGGAGTGACAGAGTTAAGTTGCCTGTGTAATAATTTTTCCTCCCTTGTGTGCAGGTATTGGAACAGGTATTTAAGGGCAAGGCATACAGTGATTTTTTTTTCCTTCCCATTCAGGCTGTCTCTCATTTGCTACACAGACCAGAGGGCAGCTCTTTAATTCTTTTAACTCCTATTTTTCATTGTGTAGTTTCATGCTCCTTTGCTGCAAAGTCTATTCTGAAGACAAAACTAATCTTGCTGTTCCTTATTGCAGGGTTTAAACTTCTTCAACAGGTGATCCAGGGATTTTAAAGACTGGCATTCTTGAAAACATCTCCATTATGGGCACTGAATGAAACAGGAGCACATTTCAAATTAGCTTTGAAGCATGCAAACTCAGGAGCTATTTGTAAAATAAAAAGAAAACCAAGAAAATAAAGAACTGGCACAACTTTTTAAACTTTTCAGATCCCCAGTCTTGTAAATGTATAGACTTATTTGGGCTGAAAACTTTCACACAGGAAATTTCCCTAATGTCTTCTTTTCCTGTGAAGGTTAAGTTTAGCAGCTACATGTGCCACTGGGAAAAAGATAAGTATAAAAGAAAGGAGAGTCCACCTCTCACAGATATATTTTAATGCATCTAGAAGATATGGTTTTTATTAAAGTATTAATTTTGAAAACAGTTTATCTAGTGTGAAATCAAAGTTTCATTAATATTTTTCAGTCTCTGTAATTTTGTCTTCATATGTTTTCATATATGAAAATTCTACTAAGACTAGTATTATAAATTGTAGGTAACTTTTAATGAGTGTTCTACATGGCTGTAAATAGTAACAGCAGTCAGCCATTTCTAAACCTGGTAACTTGTTAAATGAGTTATTTAGAGACTTTCAGTTTTGCTTTAATGTTTTCTGTATATAAAAATATTTTTGGAAGTGAAAGACTTGTACAAATATTTGTGAATTAGAAAAAGAGCTTGAAGCGCAGAGGAGGAACATTGAGGGAGGATGTGCTAAAGCTGCAGAATAAAATCTCGAAGTGCTGCTTGTTGTTTTCTGATAATCATCCAACAGATACTTGACACCTCTTTAATTTGACCAGTGGTGTTTGGTTCTTTGCGAGGTTGCTGACCAGAACACGCCAGCTTTAGCACAGAATGCTTGGTACAAGGTCAGGAGGGAATAAGGGAGCACATGAGCAGATAGCTGCGTGACGTAGATGAATGGGAAGGATAGGCCAAATCCCATGGATCTTAAATTCCATTTCAAATGCATGATAATTTGGATTTTAGTAAATACAAGGGGTTCTGCCAAAAGCAGAGCTTATGAGGACTCATTTCTGTGTTCAGTGATCCACCCTGCTACCAGAATATTCTCCAGACTTTCTCATAGCTCCAAAATCCTCATGCTGTCTCTGTTCTTTTCACCTGTTAGTTTGGGAAGGTGGAGGAGGGAAATGTGTGGGGCAGGATGTGGGCTGCCCAGGATGTCAGTTCTTGCATGCTGCTGTTCCTAGCTTTTAAAAAGTTACAATTGCCTTTTCTTTAGTAAGGTCATTATCTCGAGGCTGTTCTCTCCAAACAGCTGTCAATTATCACAGGAATTGTGGAAATACGTCTTTGTGATTTCTGCTTCTTTATCAGATTGATTTGAAATCCATCCAACAGTTTCAAAGTTGCTTAGTGAGGGAGAGGGGGAAGAGATGGGACAAGCAGCACAAGTCATCAGCCTTATTTTGACCTGAAAAACCTGCTAAAGAATCTCAACAGAAAAATCTTAAAACTTGGAGTTCAAGTTAGGTACACAAATCATGTGCTGTTTCCAAGGCTCCCTGGCAGTGCTCACAGGTTCTGCTGCAGCCTGTGAATCGTGGGTGCTCAGCACTCTTGAGAGTCAGATGATTTGGGTACAGGTGGCGTAGGTAAATTTAGTTGCCCTGAATAAATGCCCTGTGACAGGCTATTTAAGGTGCTCTGAACACAGAAAAGGAGGGATTGTGTGTTTTGGGCTTTCCCTGTAGGGGTGTTTCACTGTTGCCCTGGCCAGGTTGGGCAGCACTCTGTGCTTTTGGCTTGGACAGGGCTTAGGTTGGCAACCCCACAGTCAGCAAACCTGGGCCTGCTGGCCTGGCTCTCCACAGCCTCAGCTCCGGGCAGCATCCCGCTGCAACTGCCAGTCCAAATGGGAAATATGTCAATGAATTGACCAACCAAAATAGATACAAGCCCATCTCTCTCAGCCTATTTTTTTTTCTCTGACTGCCTTTATCTTTGTATATTGTAGTGTCAAGAAGCAGTGCTTGCATTTGAATGACTTGGACTCCCATACAATTTTGTTTTACTATCTAACCTTTATAAAAAAACCATTTTGGGTACTTTAAAAGACTTCTTCACTGTATTTGTTTTATCATTGCAGATAAATCTTTCTGGATTTCTCCCAAAAGCTGAGTCAGACACTTCTTTGACAAGCCTTTCAAGTTCAGAAAGGAGTTTCATTTTTATAAACAATCGTCCAGTTCTTCAGAAGGAAATACTGAAGGTAACATCCTCTAGCTTTTAATTCAAGGAATAGAAATGTGATTTCTTTGAGGACAGAGACACCTAAGAAATCTACAACTTTTTTTCCCCCATGCAATAGTTTAGAGTATTACAGGTGAAAATACTAGCATTTACAACGGAAAGCCCTTCCATGAGTCTGACACTTCTGGTGCCTCAGTTCTGTTCCATTTGCTGCAGTCAGACCACAGAGATGGAGGTTGTGTTTTTGGCTGTTTAACAGAATTGATTTCAGATGCTCTGTGCAAGACACCAGAATAGTTGATTCTTTTTATTGGTCTGTGGACATCACATGTGAAATTTCCCATAAGGGAACTTTGTGTAGTTTCTGGCAAGAGAGTTCTTCTGTCAAGTAGTTTTGATTTTGTCCACTTCCAGCTGTGGGCTTATCAAGCAAACACCCATGCTTTCCCTTTGAATTTGTGTATGCACTGGGTAGAAATGAAAGTGATAGTGCAGCAGCATTGGCTACAGCTAGGCATCGTGTAGGCAGAATTTGATACTCTTGGGTTTCTCTCACTACTGAACCTTGCAGCACTTCACTTGCAGCAGCCTTGCTGTCCTAATCCTTGTCATCACCAGGGAAGAAAATCATGCTCATGCCAAAGTGCTCCAGCAGGTTTTAAAGTGGACACAACAATAGTTTTCAATTGGCAGGCAAAACTATGTATATGCAAACCTTGAACTTACGTTGGCATGTTAAATGCTGAATAAGGGTCATCCATCTCCATGCATTATTTGATGTGCCTGGCTCTTCTGGGAGTTCAAAGCTTAGTTTGAATCCCCTGACAGAGATGGTTCCTTAACGAGAGCAGGGAAATCTGGATTCAAGGTGGGATTCAGCTTACAAAGTATAAATACAGTGCTCTCTGTGGAAAATAGGCTATATATCACTTTTACCTCCATGCTATGAAGGCATGGAAACAACCAGGAACTGCTCTTTTGGTGATTATTCTGGCATACATTAATATGAGGACCTTTTAAGCATCTCTTTAACTTGAAAAACGAACAAAACCAGCAAACCAATTATGCTTTTATAACGTCACATTTTGTTTCTGTGCATTTTTGTCTATTTTATTGCCTTTACTGATGTCTCTTTATTAAATCAATCTCTAGTTAATTCGACAATACTACAGTCAGGTGACACAAAAGGAATGTACTCGTTCATATCCTGTTTTCTTTTTGAGTATTACTGTACCTGCCTCTGCTGTGGATGTGAATATAACACCTGATAAAACACAAGTTTTGCTGCATTATAAGGTAATTAAGGTTTGCTCTGTTTCTGAGTTGTCAGTCTTTATATAAGCATGATAAGGCCTTGGGACTACCAGAATGTTCAAACATAAACACTGTCACTGGGTTTTTGGGGTTTTTTTTTAGTTACATGACAGCTTGCCTTTGTCAGAGCACTGTTTTGATCAAAAAGTACTGAACGGGCTAACTGGGGGATTCTTCAAAATTAGCTTCCCAGTTCATTTAAAAGATTTTAATGCTGTCAGATATACGCATGTATCACTTTGGTTTCAGATGGCTTTACTGTGAGAGAAGCTAAGTGGAATTATGGTATGTGGCCCTGTGTACATCTCATGCTTAACTTCATATTTAAACCAAGTAATCACTATTTAAACACCACCACTGAGGTGAGGGTGGGCAGGAGAGGAGTTGATTTTTCTCATCAAAGCACTATTTTGTCGTTATGTGCATATATTATTGATGACATCAATTAAACACTACAGAAATTAGACAGATTGCATTGGTGGTTATTAATGTGCTTATTTAAAGTGAACATAGGTAGTCCCCCCAGTATATTAATCCTCTTCTTCATAAAAAACTTTTTTATTTGTCTGTGGTACTCTTGTAAATGTCCTGCCTGTTAAGGGTCCCTTGTATGAAAATTAATATGGCATTTTTACATTTGATCTAGTTTTCCTTTGGCATTAGAAAAAGGGTTGGACTTTCTTTTCTCTCTTTTTTTAAAAATTATTTCTTTTTACTATGGGTTTGGGTTTTTATCTGGCTTGTTTCCATCACTTGGTTCAAAGTTGAATTGGAAACATGCACCATAAAAGTACCTACACAAGCACATTCAGGTGCTGGTGCATCTGTTTTGGCTGTAAACTTCTAACTCCATATTAGGTAGGAATAACTTCACATGATACTGGTTTAGTAAGTCAAAACCCTGTTACAAAGAAAGTATTTAATTGGCTTTGTGATATCAGAGTAAACTAGTGAAGCAGAATATATGTCACAAAATATTTGAAGCTGAAAGTGGCCAATTCAGAATCTGTTGGAATGTGTGAACAACTGAAATGCAATGATCTGCTGAGATTTGTCTAAAAATTATTCCAAATAGGAGCACTTTGCATATTGTTCCATATTCTTGGTATTTGACAGTTACATTTTCAGGTGCACTTGTGTGTGTGTATTTTCTTTTCTTTTTTTTTTTTTTTCTTTTTTTTTTTTTTTTTTTTTTCCAGGAATCTGTCTTACTTGCAGTTGAAAATGTGTTGAAATCACTGTATGGGCCACTACCTGCTGCAGTCCCTGGTGAAAGTAATAAAACAGATGTTACCTCAGAAGACATGTTTGTCCATAGAACAGACCAAACAGATGTGGCTGTTAATGAAATGGGACCATCTGGAAATGATGAGCTACATGCTCATACTTCATTCCTTTCACTCAGCAGTGATGTGCAAAACTGTCAAGCAGGAAAAAACACAGAGATCTGCTTAAATCATCAGACATTTAGTGGTGATAATGTACACAGTTGCTTGGACAAAAGAGAGGTTTCTAAGAGTGATGCCTTTCCAGACAGTTCCTCAAATTTATTGCGTGAGGAGGAACAGAATGGACAGAATATGGCTGATATTCAAAGTAATAGTGTTGCTGTGGATCCTGAGTCTAAAAAAGCCAATGAGCACCTTTTGAGTTCTGATAATATTGACAAAATAGATAAAAATGAGGAAATCTTAGTCCCTAAGGACTTACCTGAAATCTCTGCTGATAGTTGGAGTATGGGAAGTGCATTTAAAGACATTCTGGGAGACAAGCTGGAACCTGTTAAGATCTTGATTCCTGAAGTTGGAGGGACAACTAATAAGCAAAATGAATACACTGGTGAAAAAAGCAGTGATCCACAAAGCTCAAATCAAAGCATAAAGAAAAAAAATGTGATAAGTGAAAAATTTGGACATGTGACAGCTTATGACTTAATTAATAGCAAAATAATAAAGAAACCAAAGTCTGCATTTGAATTTTTCACACATGAGTGTCGTCCAAAATTGATAGATGATAATCCAAAGACCAGCATGAATGACATCCTGCTGACAATTGAAGAGCAGTGGAAGAATTTGAATGAAGAGGAAAAACAGAAGTAAGTTCGGGCTGTGTCTTGCTTCTGAATCTGGAAGCTACCAAAGAGTCACTTGTAATGAATTATAAAAACTGTAATGTTCCAGTTATTTATGAAAAAATAGATAATGAATTTTGACTTCTCAAAATTAGAATCAGTACTGCTTCACATCCGAGTTGTTGTGTTTTGCTGTGTGCATTTGTGCACTGCAGATTGGAATGACTCCTTTTGGTGCTGTGCTGTGCAGCAGTTGGATTAGGGACAGCAGTAGCTGGGGACAGTTCTGCTGAACAGTTACTTAAGATAACAGGCAAGAAACTGTTTGAATCCTACAAACTTCTAAGGGCAGCCTTTACAGTATCACTCTCAACGCACTGTCCTTGAAAACCAGCACGGTGATGGATGAGGCACTGTAGAGTTCTTCAGAGATTTTTCAAATTTATTAGTATAAAATTAGAATTGTTTTTTAGGAACTTTAGGTACTCGAACACTGGGTAAATTCCATTCCTGTAAATTTTATTTGTATCCTAACCTAGGCTACCTCAGAGTTGTATTTGCAAAACCTAGTCAAATGACACAAGGAGTTACTTTTTCCCCTAACCAGCTATTCCATTGCTGGTTCAGAGACTATAGTACAGTCTAAATTTTAATCTGTTTCAAACAAGACCAAGTCTCTTCCTGGATTACAATCTGAATAGCTAAATTCTGTATTTTTCAAAAATGAATTGTCACTGAGCTTTTGAAATCCATCTGCAAGAAAAGGAAATATTTTAATGTTCTGAATGTTAGCTGCATCAGAGTTAATTGAAACCTTTTCACCTAGCTTCTGGTTTACCCAAATGAAAGTTTATTATGCAAGCAATATGCCATGGTCACAAACCCATACATGTGAGAAAGTGTTTTGTCCATCTCTGCGTAAGCAGAAATATTAATGTAATAGTAGAAATCTACTCCAATTATATTCATGCTTTTAATGAAATGAAACAAAAGGTTCTGCCAGCTGTTTCAGAAAATTTTAATTTGCTCTGCTTTAGCTTTTGAGATTTCATGGTTGCTTTCCTGGTACAACTGTTATGTTAAAGAGTGTGCCTACAGATTAACTTTGCATTAGTTCAGGAAGGAGACCTCTCTGGTAATCAAGTTTTCCTTATAGGTAGGACTGAATGCAATATATTATACACAGTGTATATATATTTTCCTTATATGTAGAATTGAATCCCATGGCTGTTGAAGGAAATGAAGAAATCACCACTAGTTGTATCTATAGATACTAGCTTTGGTTTACTTTTCCACATTCATGACGTTAAACTTTTGTCAGAGAATAGCAAATAGGAAGAGATGCGCAGACAACTTTTCCTGCAGAGCAGTAATCCAGAAGGACTTGTGGCAGAGAACGTAAGTCTTGCCTCCAGGTACTCTGGATAAATTGGGCCACCTAGAGGTAACGACAAATGTAAATACATCAGGGCAGCCAAGTGCCACAGCTCTGCTTCATGCCTCCTTGCTGGCACAACCCCACATTTCCTGGGCTCCAGTCCTTCGTCCTTCTGTGATAAACTCCTGCCTTGTGCAACGGGCGTGCATGGTTTCAACATCCCTGTTTCTCTCGTGGCCCCTCCATCGGGTCTAAATTAATTTAAATCCCTTTTGGGAGTAGTGCAAGCACCAGATGTCTTGTAGTGACACAGGATGGCCTTTTCAAAACAAGCCAGCATTTATTACACAACCGGAATGTCAAATGTTATGGTCTTTAGGTTATAATAGAGGAGGAAAGCTCCGTGCATGTTCATGCTGGCAGCATCACATATCCCCCCTGCTTTGCAAAGGATTTCATTCCTTGCAGTCACTCAGCTCTTACTTAATACAGCTCGCATGTGTTTCTGGCCTTCATGTTTCCTGCGTATCAGGCTCAGGTAGGAGTGGGAAAAATCCCTCCAAGTGCCATAACAGTGGCAGGAGTAGCTACCCTGAAGGTGTAGGAAAGGTTCAAAGTTACACACATTGTCATGGGACTAACAAATCACCTTGTCAGCACTCTGCAGTAATTCTTCATGAGTAGATTTGTACCTTGGGAGAAACATTTTTTCAGGTAGCATGGTCTTTGCTGTCAGTTTGCAACAAATACTCAAATTCAGATTATTTGTCTTATAAGGGCGGAGAGACATGTATTAAAAGGGTTGTTTTTAGTATGCTTATTATTTCGTTTGGGTTTATGTTGCAAGGGGGAAAGAATATATCATTGGTCCATTTTTCTACTTAAACCAAAGCTGCCTTTGAAACTAGACTTCATTCCACTTTTTGCTTACATCCAGTTTTGCAAATTTTCTTGGCTTTAGGTTTTGTAGCATCAGAAAAAGATTCTGAATTTGCAGTCTTAATTCACAAGGCAGAGAAAAGCTGTTCTTGTAGCACTTGTTGATTATGTGTTCCTCTGTGGGAGGATTTTCAGAAAGGCAAAGGTGTTCCCTCATAGTTTGTAAATCAGCAGTTTTTCTTTGGTTCTGGAAAAATCACTGATATTGATGTGTATGAATTTGGAAGATGCTCACAATCAAAGTTTGTGAGACTAGAATTTTTCTGGTGGTAGCCTAAATTGACAGGCAAGTTGGACTTTGGAGGTGCATTTTGGATTATCAGTGATCACTGAAGGCTCAGTTCTCCTTCACTTAAATATTTTCCTGCATTACAGTTAGGTCTATTCAGTACAAAGCATCTATTGATCTGGTCAAAGTTGTAAATGAATTTGGTATTAAAAAAAAATTCTGTTCAAGTGATTTCATCCATTCATTTTAAGAGGAGCAGATGTTTTTTATCTTAATGTTTGCTCCATATTTTCTAGGACGTGATTTATTGCAAGAAACTATTTAAGCTGACTTTTTTAGTTAACTAAATATTGGTACCATATGTGAATGCTAGCACATCATAATTAATTGCAAATGGTGACCCTTTTGTTGACCTTAATTTTCCAGCATGCATACACATAATTGAATCAAACTGTTTCAGCAAGTAGCAATAAATAAATATGACCAGCTAAAATACTTATTTCCAATACTAACATATGATAGTACTACTTTTTTTTTTTTTGCTTTGTTTTAATTGAAGATTAGACTGGTTTGAATTACCTTCTAGAATTCAGAATATCAAATAAGGGCAAAAAGAGGGAGTTCAGCAAATCACAACCTTTGCTTTCACAAAAGTAAAATTCAGATGCAATAGACAAACATAAACCTGGGACCTATAAAAGTTTAGTTATCTCACTGACATTTATAAACTCATTAAGAATCCATTCATGTTGTAGAGGTTTAGTACGTAGTAATGTTTTAACTATTTAGACAGCATGTAGGAGTAGTTTTTTATTGACTGTTTTTGAAAAATCTGTAAGATTGATTATTACTTACAGATTTCTCTGATAGTTGTACATATCCTGTATTTTTACACTTCATATGGTTAATTTTAGGCCATTTGAAATCAAATATGCTTTTATTAACTAAGACCTGGGGCTTGGGAAATTATTCAAGCTCCAAAGGTCTGCCAGCCCCATGGCCTCCCCTGGAAGGCTGTAGCGCTCTAGAAGCTTAAATTACTTTGTGAATTGAGCTGAATGTGCTGGTGACAAAAAAACTCCTTCCAAAACTCTGCATTTGATTGCAAATTAGACAAGGGACTGAGGTGGAAAGAGCCTTGCTGTAGATCTTTATATGATACACTCTATTCCTTACAGTAATAGTTCCTCCCTCTTACAGTAATTGAGGTTTTGCTGGCTGTCTTGATGAAGGAAAATTTCCAGCTTTTGTTCAAGACGTGGTTTAATAGAGGCACCATCACCACCTCCATCGCAGTGGGCAGCATGTTGATGTGGGTACTTGAATGGACCATGGATGTGATTCTTGGCTCTTGAAATGGTTACCTTTCCTTCTGCTTTAGTGTATTAGGGGTTGGAGTCTGGAGCTTTTTATCTGCTGATGCTACTGGTTTGTTTTTTCCTTCAAGTTACGAAATAAAAGCCACTAAGGACCAGGAACGGTACAACAGAGAGGTCAAGAAAGCCAATGCACAGCCAATGCACCGACCAGCAAAGGAGGCAGAAAAACACAAACCCAAGTTAAAGAGTTCTGCATCTGACCAGCAGAAGCTTGACAAGATATTTCATAACCAGATTGAAAAGAAGGGGAAACTGGAACAGCCTGTGAAAATTGTGACAGTGCCTTTTGCTCTGAGTTCCTGTAGACGTCACCTTCAGAGACCAGAAAGAAATGTTTCGGATGAACACAAGCTTTTCCTGATCCGTCGTCAGAGTTTTCCTGATGTCTGGATACTTGCTACTGAAAACAATGTTAAGTTGCTGAATCCATATAGATTGGAAGAGGCCCTGCTATGTAAGAGATTATTGGTGAACCATAAGCTTCCTGTAGAGAAACTGGACACTCCAATTGTGTTAACAGACAGGTATAGTACTATGGAGCAAAAATGTGTTTGTTACTTGAAACATCAGTTGATAATTATTTACAGTAAGCTCTGGCAAGGCCCTGTTTCCTAATGCTGTGCTTATTTGTGCACTCATCTATTATAACAGGGTTTTGGTTTTTACACTTTGGTCTTGAAGTACTGAGCACACTTGGTCCTATTCTAGTTGAAATAAGTATGATTTTTGACCAGTTTCATTGTTAGTGCAGCAAATACAAATTTCCTCCCCCAGAAGAAAATTAAATGCTCCATATTTTCACAATTTCACTGTAGCTGGCTTTCCCCCAGGAATTAAGAAATGGCTGATAGAATTATTGTTACTGTATGCCTAAGCTTGGTCCCTCACTAAGATAAGTGAATAGTTCTCGTTTTGATTCTTTAAACAACTGCTTTTCCAAAATACTTTATAAATTCGTGATGACTCCTCATCACTTGCTACCTTTTTCTGTGTTTTTTGCACACTTGTAATTTTCACATGAGAGATGTTGGTTTTTAACACTTGGGGGATTTTTTTTTTCCAGTCTTATTGGTGGAGCTCAGTATATGGCTGCTCTCTATAAAATGCAGAAGAATTACCACAGTTTCCATGGATCAGGTTATTTGTCAGATCCAAGGCTTGTAGCAAATGGATTCCAGATAAAAGTGATAGAAGGTATGATGGTTTTAAAATCTATTAGTTGCATTGGAGCTTGTTTCCTATGATTTAATGATTTAAATTATTGTTAATGTGGATCATGTTATTCTGCATCACCTTGTCTTTTAAAGCACTAGCATTCTGCTTTCCTTAACACTGAGATTTTATTTCTTGGCATAGAATTTCTTCCACCCAGAACACTGAGTAATGGAAACTGATGACTGAACAGAAAACTTTAATAGTGTTTCAAAGAATGTGCTGAAATCCATGTTTTCCTCACTTCTTTCTTTTTTTCTCAAAATGCTCAATGCCCATACCCTTAATGCCATTCTGATATAATTTAGAATAAACTGATAGGAATTCCTGAGACCAGGCACCTTCTGCAAGTATGTGCTTTAGGTGACTACTCCTGTACTGCTGAGCAGTTGAGGAGGTCCAGTAAGGAGCTGGATCCTCGTTAATATCATACTTTTCTATTAAAATTGTAACCCAGAGCCCAAAGGGGCCAGCAAAGATATGGTCAAAGGATCACCACACCTTTTCTCAGAGTTTGATATGAATATATTTTGAAGGAGTATACTTTTCAGTACCTCTGTTGATCACAAAAAAATGCATTTCATATAAGATTTTTTTTTTTTACTTTATCAAGAGAGCTCAAAGCTTACATCTTTCTGTAGAACTCTTTCTAGGGATGCACTGGAAACACAGGGGTGACCCAGGGTGGGTTCTGCAGATCACGAATTCTATAGCAGAATTCCAAGAAAAGCTAACGTCTTTGGGGGTAGCACCTAGCTGACAGCTCAGGGAAAAGATTGGCCATAAGAGCTGTTAGAAATGCTATAGCTTCATGTGTTACAGATCCCCACATATGTACAGTGATGACAGATGTACTGTAACATATGGGATCTTTTAAGGGTAGGTACAAAAAAGGGATGTAGACCAACTCCTTCACTCCGAGGCTGGCTCTTGTGAAGAACAGCCAAAGCTGTTTTCCTTACTGAAGCATGCCCAGCAAAACCAAGGCAACTTCTTTCTGATTGACTAAATCTCTACATAAATACCCGTACCTTAGTAGAAGAGGTGTTGTATTAACCATGATAATAATCATGGAGTAAGTGATTAGGGAAATAAAGCATGTACTGTAAGAGGCAGCTCTTACATGGTTTATTCAGACAAGCAGATCTAAAGCTGAGGAGGTCTATAGTATGTCTTTAGGCAAATATGGGAGAGAGGAATTGTGGCTTAGCAGTTTTGCTCACCAACTTTATTTTTTTTACATCCTGATATTCTGAGTTTGCTCAAAATCTAATTAATGTAAACTAGACATGAATAAATTGAATGTGAAAATTTGAAGACAATTCATTTTTCATCCTGGGTGAAGAGTTTAATTTCTAGTGTATGTCTAAGCAACAGCAGAGAGATGTTGATCAATCTTTTAGTAGTGCAGATGTGTCATGGTTTAACCACAGCCAGCAGCTCAGCCCCACATAGCCACTCATTCATTCTCCCCTCAGTGGGATGGGGAGAGAATTGGAAAGGTAAAAGTGAGAAAACTTGTGGGTTGAGATATAAAGACCATTTATCAGGTGAAGCAAAAGTTGTTTACAGAAATGAAACCAAAAAAAATGAATTAATTCACTGCTTCCCATGGGCAGGCAGGTGTTCAGCTATCCCCAGAAAAGCTGGGCTTCATCCCATGTAATGGTGATTTGGGAGGACAAACATCATCACAGCGCTCCACTTCCTTCTCCTTCCCCCAGCTCTATGAGCTCGATGCCACGTGGTCTGGAATGTCCCTTGGGTCAGCTGCCCAGCTGTGTCCCCTCCCAGCTCCTTGTGCACCCCCAGCCTCCTCACAGGTGGGGTGAGGAGCAGAAAGGGCCTTGATGCTGTGTAAGCCCTGCTCAGCTGTAACAAAAACATTCCTGTCTTACCAGCACTGTTTCCTGCACAAATCCAAAACAGCCCCATGCTAGCTACCGTGAACAAAATTGGCTGTCTTGGCCAAAACCTAGTGGCAAGCTACTTCTAAGACAGCTTGCTTAGTTTAAGAGCAGCATTTTAACACTATAATAGCAAAGAACTTCACACAGTAACTGGGAAGTAGTCTTCCCTTCCTGCGTTCCTAAGGTGTAAATATAAGAAAATGAAATCTCAAGGAGACTGTTCTTGTTTGGTTTACAGGTAAAGTGCTTTGTATGAACTGTGGAGGTTGGTGAACCATAGGAATAGCCCAGTAATGAATGGAAATCGAATTCAGTTCTTTGTCCCACTCTTCTATATTAAGTACTTGACTGAAGAGTTAATAAAATGAGTCTTGTCAGTCATGTTTATAAGCGTCTGCTGATGACATTATAGCAGTTACAGCCTTTTTTATTAAAAGAGCGTGCCACTGTAGAGGAAGGTAGAAATACCAGCAAACAAATGGAATTTCTCCCAGCTTTTTTCCAACTGACCCAAGGATTTCTACTTAACCAGTTTCTTCTTTTTTCTAAAGTTGTCCCTGAACTACACTGTCTTCTACAAATACTTATTAGAGTAGAGTATCAGGTACTAATTTTTAACATTCCTAATGTGTCCTTCTGTGGGAATTTCACTATGAAGTTTAAGGTTATTTAATTCATAGATTCTTGTATAATCTTTACAGAAGGAGACCTGCATATCAGGAGTGATTTGTCCCACTTAGACCTGAATATTCTGTAGGATTTCTCAACCCTGAGAGTACCAGCTTGTTTCATAAAACATCTTTCACAATCCTTATAGAAGCATTTATTTTTTTTCACTGTCTGTATTCAGTATCTGGTTTTGTGGAGTTTTTGAAATTCAGACACATCCTGAGAGAGAGGCATCCTGGTGGTTTTGAACTAGAATTTCCTTCAGAAAAGTTCTGTTTCTTCAGGATCTATTGTTAATTTTTTGGGCCAGAGCTTCCTGTTTTGTGTGATAAAGTCACAGCTTGCTGTGAAGAGGTCCTAGAATGGAAATGTGCCATTAACCCATGGTAATGGACAGTTTCTCCTTAGCAGCATCCATAGGAGCACACCAAAATCCCATTCTCTGTGCACACAGCCTTTGTAACTAATTTTTTCGTAACTTTTTGGGTTAATTGGATCAGTCCTAGTATTTGCTATTTCTCAGCTGAACTGAACTGTGAGCTCTTTCTCTATGTCAGGGTCCACTGCAGCATAGTCAGAAGTCTGTGTTTTCCTCTGGGGCTTCAGCCCTGATATGGTCATAATAGATATTCCTTTCTGACTGCTGATTGATTTCTCATTAATAGACACTTAATAGCACTTGTTAATATGCATGGCTTCCTTTTTCATCCTGAGTGAAGAGTTTTATTTTCTGTAGTAGAAAGTTTACTTTTTCTGACAGAGAGATCCTCTTATGTCCCAAGCAAATTTGTTGATTGATTGATAGATTAATTGATTGATTACTTATTCTTTGAATTTCAATGTGCAAGTGATATTTCTGGTAATTTCTTCTTGCAAAATAACAAGACTTTCTGTCGATCCATGCAAATAAGTCTGTGATGCTATCACTAGCTCTAAGATACCTCCTAAAACAAGAGCAAAGGAAATTTAGCTGCTCCAATTTGACATTCAGAAGTTTTAGTCATAGAAGAGGCTTTCCTTGACCCATGGTGGTTTCTTAAGAGGACTGTCAGTCTAGTAGATTGCACTGATTATTTGTTTAAATCTCTGCAGGTACTCTTCTACCAAAGAAGAGAAGGACCAAGAGTATTGCTGCTCATTACCATATATTAAGTCTACTCATAATACTCAGATGCTAACTTGGAGCAGTGGACCTCTTGCCTTTGGTATTGTGCACTCCACTAGGACAGCTTCCTAGATAACTATTAATGCCTTAAGTTTTAGCTTTCATATTTTCCAAGATTCTGTACTGCCTTAATGTGTAACTCTGAACTTCATATAAAGTGTTAGCAAGTTCTCTTCACAGTTTAGTCAGACAAAACAATCCTTTTGCAGCCTGAGAACCAAGGACACCGTTACAGCTTCAGGCCCAAAAAGTGTAAACAATGGCAAATTGAGGAGAGCAATCTGGGAGGATGGGATTTCATAACCTGAAGCTGTAATTGGACAATTAACCCAAATATGTAAATGAACCAAAACTTATACTCATGACCTGGTGTGTCCATCTTGTATAGAGCCACAGCCAGGCTCCTGTACTGCCCAAGGTGTATCCTTTGAAGACCTTTTAAAAAATTTCTACTTTATTCCTTTAAGTCTGTCTAGACTCTTCCAGGTAGTCTCTCTAGCCATCACTATAACAATTTAAATTTAAATATAGGGCCATAGATTTAGATTCCTTACTTCCTTGTGGTTTTGGGGTGTTTTGCAGATCTGGTTGCTTATTTATTTAAAAAAAAGCTCTGAGCAGCTGTCTTAATCTGGAAGGTAACCAGCAATTCCTGTGTTGCATTAGGTTTGTATCTCAACTGATCATTTTTAAAAATGCTTTTTTGCAGTTCAGAATCTTAGCTTCTGGTAACTTGTGGCATAGAGGGGCTTTTTATGAAGATTTTCATTCTTGTGGTTTCTTACTTGAAAAACAACCCCCCAGAAAGTATTATTTTTTCCTTATTTGGATGACGTATTAGGGACAGTGTCATTCATAGGATAAAAAAATTACTCATTCTTTACTCTTGCATTAATCTTGGGATTAATACTCAGAAATTGAATCTTACTTCCTTGCAGTGCTTGGAATTCATAGAAATACAACTCTGTTCTTTAATGGCCAATACCTTTTAGTGGGGTGGTTTTGATCTTTATTTACTTTCATAATTCACCAGGAGGCTTTCTCACAGGCCTTGCTCTGAACCCCAGAGCACCATGTAGCACTCGATGTACTACTCCTAGCAGGTTTTTGAAAGGTATAATTAGCTGTTTACTTCCTGAAAATAACTCAGTTGCACATGGAGTTTAGTTCTCGTTCTGCCATTTTGGTGGGAATACTCCTTAAAAGTCTGTATTTTCACAAATGGGTGTTAATTGTTGAAAGAGTGTGGAGGCCTTACTTGCCTATTGTTTCATTTGAGGCTATCTGCCTCTTGAATGTGTTCTTGTTAGAAGACAGAAAGGAAATCTACCTTTGCTCTCTTCAGAGACTCTATATGACTGCAGCCAAAGATGTTCCAAGTATCCTAGATTTTGGAAGTGTCCCATCTGCTTCATGTTTTTGGTAGGCTAAGGTCTTTGTATTATCTTCCTGTTTCTCTTAACATTAACTGTTCATCAGTCTAAGGAGTTTTCAACTAGATTTTTCTCTGCATAGCTCACAGTGAAAAACATGTTGTGAAATAGACAAGAAAACACTTCTTGCTGTCAGTGTGTCAGTTAGACAAAATCAATGGTTTCTTTGTGGAATGTGCCAGTTGTTGTAATTTGCAAAGCTGTGAAGCTGAGCTCCAGTCTGTCTTCCACTGCCCTGCCACCCCCTCATGTTCTGCCCTTACAGAGGCTTCAAGTGATGCTACCTTTGGGAGAGCAGTCTGTTTGCTTTTACTTAATAAAGCAAATTACTTAATACTCAGTGTTCTGGGACCTGCCAGGCATTTGTTTGCTCACAGTGACCCCTACGTGCAGGGAACACTTCAAGAAGTAAGATGGATTACTTTCTGTCCAGTTCTTCTTAAGATGTGTTTATTATATGTGCCTTCACTGCACATCTGTCTGTTTGCCTTTGGGAAAGGCCTAGAGAGAGATGGGAATTCTTGCTGGAGAGGAAGTGAGACCAAGAACACACCTTAGCTGGTATTGTATCAATGCTGGGTCTTGGGCCATGCTCCAAGGGAGGCTGTTAGGGTAGAATTGTCTGCCTTATGTAGTCAACATGACTATGTCCAAAGAATGTGCTTATAAGGCCTCAAAGAGCAGTAATAGGTAAATATCCCATTGTTCTTGGTGATAGAAATTGCCTCAGCTCTTGTAACCCACCAGTGGAAAACCATGCTGCAATTTCACTTTGGTTTGATTTTGACCATAGACTGGGAGATAGACAGTGTTATAGTGTCACCTAATCTAGGTGGCAGTTGGAAGGGAAAAGTTTTTTCCTGGCCATCAAGAAGGAATTATCCAGTGATGATTGTAAATGCTTTGTTTGGAAGGAGAAAGGGGAAATTTGTAACAATGAGAAATCCACATTTTTACTCATTTGAAAGCTAGTTTATTTGTTCATGGAAACACTTTCCTTGGAAGTTGCAAAGTATTTCAGAGAAACTACTATGGCAACTGTTTGAGAACTGCTGTTTGAATACTCAAAAATCCTAATATATATTTTATCAAAAATTTACAAGTACACTGAGGCTTGGACATCTGCTTATACCATCAAGTGTTGCCAATATCAGAGTTCCTGCAGAGGCTTGCATGCTTGCATGCATGTTAATCAGCATGCAACAGGGCTACTTTACAATTTAAAGAATGTTAGCAGGAAAGGAGAGTGGCACATAAACAGAAATACTAAAGAAATAAATCTCCCTTAGGCATGGTTTGTATTGTTTGTTCTTACATTAAACTCTTTCAAGCCCACTTTGACTTTCAGATGAAAGAGGAAAATGGTAAAGTCAAATCTGGCTGTCAGAATTTGCAGATGAAACAATGGCTATTGGTGAAGTTGAAGAGTATATGACAAAATGTTCTGCAAATTCAGAACCTCATTGTCATAAAATTTTAAAAGGAAGCACAGAAAATACAGGTTTTTAAATTGAATGTCTAAATACCTGAAACTTAAAATTTGTGTCCTGTCTTTGGTAACAAATAGAGGGTAATTATTAAAAGGCTTTCAAATAGACTAAGTTCTAATTTTAGAGAGAAAAGCAGCATGATCAAATGGTCTGGAATAGTTCCTCTAATCTGTAATTAAATCAAAAATAGGACAAATATTAAGATAAAAGAGTTGAAGGAAATGTTAAAAAGAAATCTTAATCTTTTTCTTCTGTCCCTTACTGACAGGCTTGCCCATGGGGAAATATTAGCATAGTACATCATCTTTTCTCACCTTTATATATGGCAAACTTTCATATAATTTAACATTTTGCTTTAAGCTGAATCTGAACACAGGTTTTACAGTATTCTATTAAAATATGTCTCTGCTTGCTGGCTGCAATTAGGGAAAAGCAGCTTGAAAAAGAGAAGGAAGACAATGCTGTCTGCAAAATGAAATAAAGTTTCAGATGTAAAGCAGTATTTAATACATAGCTGGAAGAAGGTTGTGTGATTTTTGGGAGGAGGGGGGATGAGAGGCTGTTCGCTGTATCAGATTCCTACTGGTCAAAGTATCTCATGCCATGAAGCTTAAAAAGGCCCAAGAGCATTATTTACCCAGTGATACACCCATATTTAGGAAAAGTTTCAACCTGCACTGTTATTCTGTTCACTTTATTTAATGACTGTCAGAGATAGTGTCTGGACATGGATAACTCAGCTCCATTCTACCAGCTAATGAAAGTACATCTTGCTGACTTATGATGCATATATATTTTCTCTCACTTCTGAAATATTTCATGTTTCTGTTTGGATTAGGAACAGGAATTATCCCTTGTAAGAGTTTGTTAGTTTAATCCACCTTGGAGCAATCTATTTGTCTCCAGCTCTTTTGACTTTACAAAAGCCATTAGTGACCTTAGCTGAAGGTAATTTATCCTGCCTGGAGTCACTACATGAGAATGGATTACTAATTTCATTAGTAATTCTGTTTTTCTATGTCTGTGTCAAAGTTTGTACTTGTTAGACTTGTAGGGGAGGAAAAGAGGTTTCTGTGTACCCAACATGAATAAGAGAATAGTCTGAAAGATTGAATGAGAATATGTGAGCCTGACCACCAGAGTACTTGCTTCTAACTGGGAGTGGGAGTAAAGTTGCTATACCTGAACAACTTCAATCAATTTTCTTTCTTGACATGTGAATAAGAAGGAAAATCATATAGACCTCAACGCTTGAATAGATACTCTGTTAGAAAGGCTGTTTAATTTTTTATTCATCATTCCTACTCAGAATGTTACCTGCTCCAGAAGTGATACCATATGTATGATGATATAAAGTCAGTCACAGAGCCTCTAGTTTTATGGATTTGAGTTTTTTCTCAGATATGGTAGGAGAAAAATTGCTTTTTATTTCAGTAGAATCCAAATTTGTTATGATAACATTTGAACTCTACAGATGTTTACACCACTTATATAGGAAATAGTGCCAACACTTATATTTTTTTTCAATCTAAAATGTGTTTTATTGCTAGCTTCAACTTTAATTTTATGTATGTTTAATTAAAGTCACAGAAGCTTTAATTAAAGCTGTGCTCAATACTAGGAATGCTGCTAATGTTTTAAGCATTAAACAGTGCCAGCTAGGATTTGGATTAATGTAAGCTGAGACATTTGTGATGTGAATAAACACACATCATCATAATGAAACATTGTGCAAATAAATGCTTTTCATTCCAAGGGAGGAACAAAAAAGTTTCCTAATTGTATTGGACTAAAGTACTAAATTACTTTGCATCAGCTTAATTTTCTGTGAATTGCTATAGAATAGAAATAAAAGCAGTGCATGAATTACTGTTTTGTTTTTGTATTTTCAGGTGTTTCGGCTACAGAAAGTCATCTGGAAATAGAAGGGATGGCAAATTGTCTGCCATATTATGGAATCTCTGATTTGAAAGAAATTCTGAATGCAGTAGTTAACAGAAATGCAAAGGAAGTATATGAATGTAGGCCTCTCAAAGTGATAAATTACTTGGAGGTGAGACAGAAGCTTTCTTTTAGTATTAGCCAACTAAACTTGTAGTAATTCCTGAAACAGCTTGGAAGTCTTTCTTCAGCTTTGCATTTTAATTAATTTAATTGTGTTCTAAACAGAAGTTACTCTTGAAAAAGAGAGTATCATATCCTCTCCAAGTTGTATATTCCTTACCAAAATGCTTCCCTCAGATATACCCAAAAGTAGTCACCAGTGTGATATAACACATGCCAAAAGGTGATTTTCACAAAGCATTTCCTCTGTAAGGCACTTTTCAGAGTGGAAAGGTATTTCTTCATGTTAGGATACAAAACTGCCACAGAATAGCAGTGACTCATTCTGTGCAAATAAATAAATTGTCCATCCAGAGACAACTAATAGATGTGGTACTAGGTAAAGCTGGTGTAACCGACAGTAGTAGTAATCACTTCTTCACTAATGCTCTTCAGTTCCAATTCTCTTCAAAAAGTTTACCAAAATATATGTAAAGCCTCTTCTTACTTAAACATTTATAATATACCTTCCTGAATTATTTGAAAATGGGATCTAGGCACATACTGACACAGAGTATGTGTTTTATCTTTTAAGCATTATTACACAAATCTTTCCCTATCTTTTGGGGGCAGTAAGCTGCCTTTGCAGCGAGTGATTCTGTTATGTATTACTGAACCACTCCCATGTACTCAGGAAAGAAGCTTAAAGAAGGGATAAGTTCAATGTTGAGACAGGAATGGTTTGTAAAAAAACCCAGACTACTGTAAAAGCTGTTATTCAGAAATAAGCACTGAATTTTTTGACCATTCTAGGAGGTTAAACACTGGAAATGCCATTCACTGTCATGTTCAGAATCACAACTTTAATTATTCATTTCATGTCTGAGCAGGCAGCATGTCTGCAGCTTTTGCTGTCAGTAGATAGATGCAGAAGAAAGCACAAGGTAATGGTTGAAGCAGCAGCCTTCCAGGGTATAAAACAGTCCACAGTGATCTTTTTCCCACTTGGAGGAGTGGGAGAAAATCTCAGACAAAGAAAATGAGATGATTTAGATTAAATCATTATGAATGTTGCTCAGGTTTGTACAGTATGAAGGGAGGCTGTGTGCCACATACATTTCTGTCTAGGTAACATGACTTAAGTACAGAAGTCAGTGGCAGGAAAGCCCATCTTAGAGGAGAAAACGAAACTTCTTTTTGAAGTTCCTTAGTTCTTTGGGGGTGGGTACTTGAGCAGTTGCTTCTGCTTTCTAGGGTGAAGTGGATGCAATAGACCATAGTAAATACAAATTAATCTATGAAGTTTTGCTATAGTATTTTCAAATTGTATTTACTGACTTCTTGAATTAATTCATGATACTTCTAAAGTTGGTGGTGTGAAATGTGTCTTTTGAACTGGTAAACATGTACAGGTGATGCTGCTGACAACAGGAAATCAGAAACAAAAAGCATCCTGCAAAAATAGGCTAAAGGAGTGCAAACATAACCAAGGGGCTGACTGTGCATGCCTCCATTGTAGAAATGTCATGAACTGACCAGTAAGAAATGTTTAAAGTTATATTTAGATTTCTGAGATTTTGAATATTTTGCAACAGAAAAGGATAACCTTTAAACGGTGAGTTTTTAATTCTGCTTTCTGGTAGCCACAGGCTGATGGTGCTAAAAAATGGTACTTTAAAACTATTGGGGTTTTGGTTTTGTTTTTCCTTTCCACAGGGAGAAGCAGTATGTTTAGCACGGCAGCTGCCCTTACATTTGTCAAAAGAAGATGTGCAAAACACAATTTACAGGATGAAGCAACAGCTTGGAAAGGAAAATAAAGGCTGTGTTCATGGTCGTCCTTTTTTTCATCACTTAACAGATATTCCAGAAGTTGACAAGCACAACTCCATGGAAATTATTCAGTAAATGGAACATTTTATTTGAGGTCATACTTTCTTGCTTAATTTTGATCACTACTCTGTAATTTCAGTATGTTTTGTGCAAAGCTTTTGTTTAATGACTTTTCATTGTTACATGTTCACCTCCTAAAGACTTTATTTAAATAAAAATGCTACTTGAAAACAGAAAAAAATATTGTAAAAAAACAACTCACCACTGTTTTTTTAAAAATACTTTATTAAAGAAATGTTCTCAACTGGTTTCCCCCTTCTCTTATTACTGCAGGTTTAAGAAATACCAGTATGTCAGAATTTTTTAGATGTGAAGTGGTTAGAAGTTGCTTTCAACAGAGCATGGCAAAGCTTATTATACTAAAGACATCAGCTGTTAATATTCAAAGGAATGCCAGATAGCTGTAAGTATTTGAATATGGCATTGCCATACACAGTTAGTATAGTTAGACTTCTAACGTGTTGTATTTCCATTTGGAAATTCTTAGCTCATATAAATGAGTATTGACAGTCCTAGTGCCCAATCTCCAAAAATTATAAACTTACAGAAGTATGGATCTTAAAGTACAGTACAAAAGTTTAAAAATTTCAGATCAACAAAAACTGGCCAGTTCTTTGAAAGCAGAAGGGATGTGAGTCACAGGAGCACAGGTTAGCACTAAAATCAGGTGCCCATGGATGTTTATTGGTGCAGTGTTATGCACAAACTGTTTGGGGGTGGGAAACATAAACTGTCCTCCCTCAGGGAGAACATGGCATAACTAGGGCATAGTCTGCTATATAGAGAGCTACTGATTTTGGTAAACTGGTTCATTCTCTTTCTACCAGAACACAATGTTTACTCCTCTATTTCAAGTAGTGGCCTACTTCTGTAAACCTACCCTCTAGGCCTTCTGTGCACAGCAGATGCCTTGTCTCTGGAAGAATTTGTTTTAAAAGTTTTCAAGCTCACCTGAAAATTCCTGTTTATCCCCAGCTGTTGTTTGCAAACCATGGCACCGTGAAAATGTGGTGGTAGGACCTAGCTTTGTAGTATTTCTGTGGCTGCTGGGTAAAGTGTTGAAGGTTGCTGAAAGGCACAAATGCAAGTTAGTTTGTGGGCAAGAGTGTTGGACCAGACAAGAAAATGTAGTGTTTGAATGTGTAAATCACTGATGCTGAACTGGTGAAACTAATTTAAGAAATCACATCACAGGCATACATCACAACATGTAAATTCTAACCTGAAAGGCAATGATTATCTTTTTCACAGAGCCTGTTGCAACACAACAAGAGGTAATAGTTTTAAACCAAAGTAGGATCGATCTAGATTACATATAAGAAAGAAGTGTTTTACAATGAGGGTCGTAAGGCACTAGAACAGGTTACCCAGCACACAGTAGATGCCCCATCTGTGGAAATACTCAAGGTCACGTGGCATGGGACTCTAGGCAACTCGATCTACTGAAGATGTCCCTGCTCACAGCAGGGGAGTTGCACTGGGTGACCTTTATGATTATTTCTTTATGCCATTAAAGGAAGTTTGTCCTTTTCATAAAGAGCAAGGATGATCAGAGGGCACAAGCAGGATATCTTTCCAAGCTTAATGGTAGCAAGATACAAAATGAGAATGTCACTTGCAAACTGGACACTTGGCTTTAAATGTCACTCAGTGCAGAAGATGTGAATTTTTAGAATCGAAGTGAGAAGGTAGATGGAGAGAGAAAGGAGACGTGACCCTTGGCTCTGATGGGGAAACAGGATCCCAGCCTTGCATGGGATACAGAAGGTTATAGTTTGTTTATTTTTATTCTTGTTGGAATACAAATTCTGAGAGTTTAGAGAGGTGCCATTACAGTGAGAAAAGCCAGAAGCAAGCTGCAGAATGGAAGTTTATATCCTGACTAAGGTTGTTGGAAATTAAATTAATGTGTGCACCACTTTTAGTCAGTTTGGAGTACAACATACAGTATTTAATGAGATTAATAATGGCTGCTTCTTTTCCAAAAGGTAAGATATCTATATCATAACTATACTGAAGCCAGTACTAGTATCTTTCCTAACACTTGAGTCTACATGAAGAGGACAAGTGTTAATTGCTATTCAAGCACTAGACTGAGGACAAAAATTGGCAAATGGTATTCACAGGTGCCAGAGTGGGTTTAGTTGCTATGGAAGCAAATTAGCATCAAGATTTCAAGTGTAGGTGCACCAGGTTAGGCAGTTGTGAGCTGGGGCTTCCCTCTTTTCCTCGCTGAGTTTGCTGGACCTGCACCGGAGTTCTTCCTTAGGTGCATGTACGTACAGTTTGTTTTCTGTCTCTGGGGGATGTTGTGTGGCTGGGTGCCAGCAGAGACTGCTGGAGCGTGGCTTTGGAGCTGTAAGTCTGGGTGTCTCCCCACCACAGTACTCATGGTTGTGACTGCAAGCTGAAATTGGGAGTTATACTGTTGTTCTGATGGGAGATGGCTTTAGATAGGACAGGGTAGAGGTCTCTCCTTGCTTTATCTGGTGTGAACAAAAAGAAATGTTACTTTCTGTTTCTAGAGATGTTCTCACTGATGCCTCTAGTGGTACATCCATTTTATGTTTTTGTTTAAACAATAGAAATACCCCAGTTCTAGGTTTACAAGTTTGAGGAAGTTAAATGATGTGCCTGAAGTGCCAGTTCTGGAGAAGGAAGCATCTGCCATTGCATCAGCATGGGGTGCTATATATTAAACCCCACGAGACTCTCGGGGAAGCACACAAAGGCTGTCTTTGCCTGCACTCGGTCCGTCCCCAGCTCTGTGGGCAGTTTGTTTAAAAGGAAGGAAACCTGAAAAGTGCTACGTTGGGGGGAGTTGCAGATTGCCGACCTTGACCCCTTCCCAGGGAGGAAGCACTGGGAGCAAGGCGCGGTGGGTGCGTGTCCCAGCGGCCAGCGAGGGGCAGCCGCCTTGTGCCCCACGAGTGGCCGGGCTGGGGCACTCCAGGCACTTCTCGTATTTGCGCTGCCCTCTGCTGGCATTTCGGCTTTGTACAATTTGGTCTTAAAATTGAGGTCTGGGGCTGACCATGGATGAGCATTGTTCCTTCCATACTTCGAGTCCCCGGCAGATCAAAGCGTTATTGCTTACCTTGCTCCTCGTGGTGTGCAGGCTTGCTTTCCTAAAATACACCTAGGGCAGGTAGCAGTATTCCCTAGGGGAGGGTCAGGAGCTTTCCAGACTCAGGAAAACTTCCAAAGCCTTTTGGTTGTACATAGCTTTGCATTTTTCAAAGGATTGTTCATCTCATTGGTTGGGGAAGGTTTGGTTCTGGTGGTGTGTTTGCAGCTCAGGAGTCTTCTTCACCCAAATTCTGAGAAGTTGCACATTCCTTTAATGGGATACCACTGAATATCAATTTAACTCAATAAATAGAGGGAAATCTCATTGAAAAGAAAAAGTATTTTTCCTTGCATGTAAGTATGGGTATGAACATGAAATTGAGGTAGCACCATGTGTCTTTTCTCAGTGTAGTAGGAATCTTATTAATGAAGTTTCTGTTCCAGTTAACCAATGTGCTTGTGAAGGAGTTTGGACTATTTCTTGTTTGTTTTTTTTTTTCCCTTTATCATGAATAGTATAGTTCAGAGAACTATAGCAAAACCAGAGGAACATTGAAGTTATTTCAGGAGCACTTAGGAGTCATTGGCAACAGTAAAATCTAGATGATGGAGTTTGGGATTTGTTAGAATGGATTCTCCTCTATTTCCATATTCTGATATGGAATATTTATTTATTCTGATATTAATATTCATTAAATATTTAAAATACCTATCAATAGGAACAATATTCCCAAGCACATTATTTAAGTCTCAAGGATTTAATTCCTTTTGTTTTCTCCTGCAAACTAACTGGTATTACTTTAATGAAAGTTGACTTCCGCAAACAACTTTTTAGATTTTTGAAAGGGTTGTAAAATTTGGTCTTCAGAGTTTGTTTTATTTTCTGTAAAGGAGGTCGGGCTTTGGTTTTGCATTGGGGTTTGGTTTCTTCTAAATAAACTTATAATTCTGAATTTACTTTTTGGCTGCGATAGAATATTGAAGGATTCTTGAGAATTTTGTTTCATTTGTACCCAGCATTTAACAGGATGAGTTAGCAATCATAAGAAACTTCAGGTACATCCATTTAATTTTGCAAATGGAAGGCTACCAGAACTTGCTTTTATTTTTTTCCCCTCTCTCTGTAAGTATGGAGTATCATATCTGAAATTATGGAGAGTATAAATGTGGAAATGTTAAATCTTTTGTTAATGGCTTCGAATTAAGCACACATTGTTGCAGATGATTTGGAGGACTTATTTAAAGTAAATATACAATTTCAAGCTCAATTATCATTCATAGTTTAACCGGGCATAGTGAGATATTCAGTCTGTGAATTTGATACAGTGTTACTTCATAATTACGATGCTTTTTTACAGTAAATTTGATATAGAACAGTTGCTAAAAGAAAGCTGCTGAACAGTGTGACCAACCATTTTATGGGACACATCTGGTGCATTAGTTCAGGATGTGCAGTGCAGGAGAACAGAGCCTTTTGCCCAAAAGGAGAAGGAAGCTAACTCCACATGTATATATTCTGGGGACATGCAGAGAGGTTAAACAATTATGAGTTAATTGTGTAAGCTAATAGGAGGGGTGTTTGTAATGTCATTTCAGAATAGCTAAGGAGGAAACAGAGAAGAATTATTGTTTTAAAATCTAAAATGAATGGTTTACACCTGTTAATGTTACATTTAGAACAGCTGTTTCTTTTATTATCAGTAAACAGATGCAGAAAGTAATGGAATGTTTTAAAGCAATATGTTAATCCTGTCTTCCACTACTGAATATTCTCATAATGTCATGATTAAATATTAACTGTAATGCTGCTGTCATCTGCAGTTAAAGAATATTTACTTATTATTTTAATCACTTTTTATCTGAAGCTGTAAATGTTTATCCAAAGTTATTGTAGTCTTTCATCAACCCAGCCTAACTGGTTTTTTTACATCAATAATTTTATTGATTATTTCATTGGACTGAACTACTCAGTCAAAATGAACCTGATTTTGGTTTTCCTCAAAGGTTATTTCTGTATTTGAAGTTTCACCTGAAATGAAACTAACTATATTTATAAGGGGTGTGGTAGGGGAATTGCTCTTAAGGGCCCAGTCTAGCACATATTTTATATGAACTCCATGTGAAGTTGATTATAGGTGAAGCTTTCCCAGTGTACACTCAGGTTAAGCTCTGCAG